AAAATTTATGGCCTTATGGGCAGCCTTGTTAAGGTCTGCAATAAAGCAAGTAATTATATGGTTACAGGGTGCCTGGCTGGGGTCTATGGGTTGGTACTTTCAGGAAGGCTCTTCCTGGTGGGATGGCCGCAGCTCTGATGGGCTTAGTAGGGTCTTGCCAATGAAGATCATTGGCATGTGCCTGGGCTGAGAGCCACACTCTTTTCTTCACTTCCGGAAGGAGGGTAGAAGACAGGATAATATAGAGATCATTCCAAGTGAGTTCATAAGACTGGGTGAGATGTTTAAATCCTTTGATATAAGTATTGAGATCAGAGGAGAAGGACCCAAGATGTTTTTCAATCTGGGAAAGATTTGAGAGGGAGAAGGGGATGTGGACATGGACAATTCCTTCAGACCTGGCTACCTCTGGGAGGGGAAGCAAGGAAGCAGGTTGCTGGGCATGTTGGGTAAGGGTGGAGATAGGGAGGACTCACAGCCAGAAGCGGGGTGGTTGGAGGGGAGGTGAAGAGGGAGGGCTGTAGCAGGGACATATGGTGGGGGGATCTTGACGCTCTGGTGGGTGATCAGGACGCTCTGGTGGGGGATCAGGACGCTCTGGTGGGGGATCAGGACGCTCTGGTGGGGGATCAGGACCCTCTGGTGGGGGATTATGACACTCTGGTGGGGGATCATGATGCTCTCGTGTGGAATGATGATGCTCTCGTGGGATATTATGATGTTGTTGAGAAGTAGAAAAATCAGGTGGGTCAAAGAAAGAGGAGTTGTCAGCTGGGACTGTTGGGAGTGTGGCAGGAGAAGAGTTGACAGCCAGAGCAATGGGGAGAGTGGCAGGAAGAGAGCCACGTTTGGAGAGAGTGAGGAGAATTTGGAAAGTAGAGCAGGACTGGCAGAGCGAAGGACACCTATGAATAGTAAAGAAAGGCTGAACCTCAGGAATCTTAGACCATTTCCCATTGCAGTGGCAAAGGCTGTTTAAGTCTTTAAGTATATTGAAATTAAAAGTGCCATTTTCAGGCCATTGGGAGCCATTGTCTCATTTGTATTGAGGCCAAACAATATTAAGGTAAAAAATAAGTCTCTTAGGATAGACCTTTGAACAGAGGCCGAGAGCATCGAGATTGTGCAGGAGACACCCAAGGCAAGTAGTTTCGGAAAAGGTAGAGTCACAGGCTCCCAGAGTAAATAGGGGAGGAAGGGAGAGGAAGAAGAGACTGCCGATTGACAAGGACGGCAGAAGGCGTCTCCTGTCCCGTGGGCCCTGTCCGGAATACAGGAGGTAGACACTGAGTCAGGAATCCCTGAAATGGAGAAACAAGGGGCCTGGAGGTGGAAGGAAGTCCTTGGCCCGGGGCTGGGTCTTTTCGGGAAGGCAGAGATGGTTAAGTGTTCCGGGTAAATGGCAACAGTCTCTCTTACTCATCCCGGTCGGGGCTCTGATGGTGGATGCGGTCATCAGCAATGGGAGAGTCTGGGAAATCCTCTCGGTCTTTCGCAGGTTTGAAAAGGAGAGGATGGCTGGGAGAGAAGTGATAGAAGAGGGAGGGAAGGAGAGAAAGAAAGCAAGAGAGAGTCCTTTAGGGACGCCTGCCCAGAGCCTACCCCTCCCTGGTGTTGGCACCAATAATAATAAGGGTAGCCGAGAGAAAGGAGAATAGACCCAAAGTCTGGAAAGCAAGTTTTATTAACCTGCTAGGCTGCTTCATAACAACCAGAGGAGGCAGCCCTGAGCTCACAAAATGAGAGGTTTATATGGAGTCAGAGGGGTGTAAGGGAGTTTTAGGACTCAGGTAATCTATCCGCCGGTAATAGGCACAGAGATAGGTTATTAACTTGCGACAGACCTACAATACATCATCCTGTGACTTTTGTGGTGGCAATCTTTTTTTAAAAAAGAGAGAAACCAGGAGTTTTTTTTACAGATACGTGTCAAACAGGAATTTACAAGTATGGAAAACCAACATGTTTTCCCTGTCCTCCCTCGAGCTGCCTGGATGGCTGTAATCAGGCTTTGCTTAATTACTGCACATCTGGCAGCCTTGATGTGGCGCCTAGGCAGGGCTCAGGAGTGCAGCTGCAGAGCAATCAGAGGAGGGTCAGGCTGTGCAACTTGTTGCTAACACTGCCCACCGGGGAGATTGTAATAAATCCCTTGTCCCAGCACTATGTTAATGTTACTCTTTTGCCTTCACACTGCAATCACAAGACATTTTGACATATTTCTGGGCCCAGCACCAAGCTGCCATGAGTCTCCTGCCTGGACCCTGCCCACAAGGGGCATTTTGGCATTTCTTTGAACCCATCAACTTTCTGATAAAACCTTCTCTCCTACGAGCCTTGCCCCAGACAATCTGCACAAAAGAGAGAGTGACTCATCACTGAGCCCAGCACACAGGTAATGTGACTCTCCTGCCAATTCCCTGGCCCCCAAAATGATTGTGACATATCCCTGGAACAGGACCAGATAATATGATTCTCCTGCTTTCTCCCTATCCACAAGTAGGGTTGTGACATATATCTAATTGCTAGCCAATTAGAGAGATGTTAGCTCTCATTCCTGGGCTTAGGACAATGAATAAGATCATGAGTTTATACCAGCATGTAGATCTAAGTGTGGATTGTGACTTTCAGGCATATCATAGAAAGCCCTCGGGTGGCACCAACAGTGTGATAACAGGGCCCAGTGCACAGGTGAGATAGTGACCCTCGTATGCATCCCCAGTTTACAGTAAGGATTTTCACCCACAGCCCATTGTTGAGGTTCTGAATCTAACACACGTAGGCAGGTAAACGTTGGAATTGTGAGTCTCATACATGGATCAGGTTCACAGATGAGATAATGACTCTCAGACCAAGATTTATCACACTGAGGCTGACTCTATACCACTCTGAGGCTGACTCTACTACCACAACATAATTTGAAGGTCCAATTGAGACTCTCAGGCACCAATCCAGTCCAATATCTAGATTCTGACTTGCATAAATGGACTAAGCACACAGAAGGTGATGACTGTCATTCCTAGAGCTGGACAGGTTTGGGACTGTTTATCTCATCCCTTGACTTTTGTGGAAGTGTGATTGTGATATATGCTTTTGCCCATATCCTGAGTGATTTTCGTTTTCTGACTGGGCCCAGCCCACAGATAAAATTGTGACATATACTAAGGCCAAGCACCAAGGTAAAGTGACGGTCCTCGTCAGCCTGAACCCGTCACTTAGAAGTGATTGTTACATATTTCTGAATACAACATCTTGGTGATGTGACTCTCCTCTTGTGTCAAGGCTTTGAGCACAGAGAAGACTGTGACACATCACTGGGCCCAGCACCCAGGCCATGTGCTTGTCCTGCCTTAAGTCTCCCCACAGGGAACATTATGACGTATTTCTTGGTCAATCACCTAGGTGAAGTGACTCTTCTTTCCTGCCTGTGACTCAGAGTCAGAAGAACATGTGACATATTGCTGTACCCAGCACTTCGGTGATTTGAGTCTTCTCTGTTGCCTGATCTTTGCCAATAGCGGGGATTGTGAACTACTGCTTAACCCAGCACCTAAACTTTCTGACTTCTTTTGCTAAATCCTGTGAAAAGTGAGAATTGAAACATATTGCAGGAACCAGCAACTAGGTGATGTGACTCTGCTCCCTTGCCCGGGCCCTGCCCACATTGAGCATTGTTACATATTGCTGGGCTCATCACCTAAGTAATGTTATGGTTCTCTTCTGCTTGGGACCTATCCACATTCAGGATTGTGACATATCACTAGTCCCAGAACCCAGCTGATATGACTCTTCTTCCCTAATCCTGCTCTTATGAGGACTGACATATTCCTGCCTTAGCATCCACATGATGTGACTCTTCCGCTTGGCCCTTGACTTCAGGTGGGATTGTGACATACGCGTGGGCTCAGCTCACTGGTGCAGTGATGACAGCCATACCTGAACCCAGCAAATGGAAGAGATATTAAATATCTTTGCTAGGCTTAGGGCAATGTGTGAAGTCTGGGTGTTTCTTATACAAAAGTCAGAAAAAATTACGATACCCACGCTTATTGTATAAGGGTTTCAGTTGGTACAGAGAGTGTCATAACAGGGCTCAGCACACACTTGAGACTGTGATTCTCATATGCACACCCAGGCAACAGTTAGGATTTTAACTTACACACATTTTAAGGTACCAAATCTCACATGTAAATGCAGTTTGCAGTTAGAATTGTGATGTATATGTGGATGCGGCCACAGGTAGGATGGTGACTCACTTCTGAATGCAACTGACAGGCACAGTGATGACTCTCATTCCTGGATGCAGCAAATTAGAGAGAGGTTGACTCTCCTACCTGGGCTTAGGGCAACAGGTAAAATCATGGGTCACACCAGCACAAAATTTTCAGAGCAGATTGTGACTCTCGTGCATGTCATATAAAGCCTTAGGGTGATACAGAAAATATCATAACAGTGCCAATCACACAGGTGAGATTTTGATTCTCGAATGCACACCCACACAAAAGTAAGAGTTGTTACTCTCCCACATAGACACAGCTCACCTTTGAGGTTCTGAATCTGATACCCAGAGGCAGTTGAAAGTTCAAATCATGACTCTCATTCATGGATCCCATCCACAGGTGGGGTGGACTCTTGGACCAGAATTCAGCACACCCATGAGCCTGTTACTTTCATATCAGGGCACAGTTTCTAGGTGGGGTCAGAACTCTCATGCACAGATCCAATTTGCTATTGAGATGATGAGTCCTGAACTTGCACGTAACTCACAGGACGTGTTGACTCTCATACCTAAAGCTGGGACATGTGCAGAATTGTAAATCTAACCACTGGACCTTTTTGCATGTGTGATTTTTACATATACATTTGTCTAGCACTTGAGAAATCCACTTGCCTGTGTAGGCCAACCATACAATGTGGCTCACTTCTTCTGCCTGTGCTTTGCCCACAAAAAAGCCTGGACCACATCACTGGGCTGAGCACCCACATAATTTTTTAACTAGATGATATAACTCTCTTTCCTGGTCACTGCCCTCAAAAGAGATTTTGAAATATTTCTGGGCCCAGTACATGAGTGATGTGATTGTTTTCTCCTGCCTGGTTCCTGCACACTGGGAGCATTGGGACATATCACTGCGCCCAACACCTAGGTGATAGGACTCCCCTTTCACATCTGGGCCCTGCCCATTTTAGGCATTGTGACATTGCACTGGACCTAGCACTCAGGTGAAGTAAATATTCTTTCCTGTTTGGGTTTTGCATACAGGGGCATGGGTGACATAATGCAGGGCCCAACATTGAGGTGATGTGACTTTACTTCATTGGTAATGTCCAAAGGGAGCATTGTGACATCTCTCTGGACCCAGGACCTAGATGATGTGACTCCCTTTTTCCCGGGCCCTGCATATACGGGGAATTATGACCTAATGCTGAATCTAGCTCCTGGGTCCTGTGACTCTTAGGCCTGAGCCCTGCTCACAGGTGGCATGTGAACATACCTTTGGGTTCATCATCTAGTTGATGTGACTCATTTCTTTTGTCTGTGCTTTACCCACAGACAGGAAAGCCTGGCCCATATCACTGGGCTGAACGCCCAGGTAATGTAACTCTCTTTCCTGAACCTTGCCCACAGGGGGCATTATGACATTTCACTGGGCCCAGCACTGATGCAAAGCACTCAGAGGATGTGATAATCCAGCCCCATCCCTGCTCGCAGCTAACAGGCATAAGGATGGCTCTTGTAACTTAACCCAGCTAATATGAGAGATGGTAACTTTCATAGCCAAGATTAGAGAAACCAGTAAAGTCCTTAGTTTCCTACTTGTATAAAGTGCACAAAGGATTACGTCACTCATGCATACTATATAAAGCACTTATCATGACAGGGCACAGCACACAGTTGAGATTGTGACTCTCATGTGACACCCAGGCCACAGTTATAACTGTCACTCTTTCACATGCACAGAGCCTGCTGGTAAAATTTTGAGCCTAAATTGTGAATACAGTCCACAGTTGAGAATGTGATTTTCGTAAGTGAATATGGCCACACTTTCAATGGTGACTCATTAATGGAGTCAGATCACAGGAATGATAATAACTCTCATACCTGGATCCAGCCATTAAGCAAGATGTTCAATCTCCTTCCTGATTCTAGGACAATGAGTAAGATCGTGAATCCATACAGGCATGAAGGTCTCAGAGCAGATTGTGACTCTCAGCTGTATATTTTAAAGCCTTTGAGATGTACGATGTGTCATAATACGGCCCAGCATACCAATGAGACTGTGACTTTTACATACACACCCAGCTGAAAGTAAGAATTGTCACCCTCCCACGTGAATACAACACAATGTTGAAGTCCTAAACCTCATAGCTAGAGGCAGTTAAAATTTGGAATTGTGTCTCAGACAAGAATCCACTCCACAAGTGGGTTAGTGACTCTCTGACCTGGATTCAGCACACCTGTGAGGCTGTGAGTTCCGTACTGGGGTATATTCTGCTGGTGAGATTGACGTCTCATGCACATACTCAGTCCACCATTGAGTTTGTGACTCATGTACTAGGAGCCAACACACAGATGTTGAATCTCATACCTAGAGCTGGGATATATACAGGATGGTCAATCTCCTCCCTGCATCTTCCCACAAACGTGATTATGACATATGTCTTTGCCCAGCCCCTCAGTAATTTGACTTTCCTGTCTGGGTCCAGCCCCAAACTGGAATTATGACATATGCCTGGGCCAAGCACCTAAATGCTGCGACTTTCTTCTTTTGCCTGGGAGCTGCAAACAGAAAAGATTGTGACATATTGCTAAGCCCAGCATTTAGGTTATATGATTCTTCTACCAGGGACATTGTGATATATTCTTCTCTGGAAAATGGGACATTGTGACATATTCCTCCCTGGAACATGAGACACTGACATTCCTCTCTGTTCCTAGAGGGACATTGTGACACATCTCTGGGAACAGTAACTAGATTAAGAGACTCCCTTATACCTGCGTCATTCCTTCAGGGGGGATTATGACATATCACGGAACCCAGAACCTAGGTGATTTGATTCTCCTCTACTGCCAGGGCCCCATCCACAGTATGATGGTGACATATTGCTGAGCCCAACAGCTAGGTGATGTCACTGTCCTTTCCTGCCTGGAATCTCTCAGTGGAAAAGAGTTATATATTGCTAGGCCCAGCACCTAGGAAATGTGCCTCTAACCTCCTCACAGTGGGAAATGTGACATGTCACTGGGCTCATCACCTAGATGATGTAATGCTTCTCCCCTCTCTTGACCCACCCACAGTGGATATTGTGACATATTACCATGTTCAACAGCTAAATGATGTGACTCTTTTCTCCTGATTGAGCGCTGCTCATAGAGAGCATTGTGACCTACAGCTTGGCCTTGAATCCAGAAGATTTAACCCCCCTACCTAGGCTCTTTTATGGGGAACAGTGTGACATGTCTCCACATCCGTCATCTAGGTGATGTGACTCTCCTGTCTGGTTCTGGCTCATGGAAGAGAATGGAACATATCACTGGACCCGGCACCTAGGTGATGAATCCCTATGCTTTTCCTAGGCCTTGCTTTTAGGGTAAATTGTGACATGTATTTGGATGTAACACCTAGGTCATGTAACTCTCCTTTCATGCCTGGGCGGTGCCCAAGGGGAGACTGTGACATGTTGCTGAGCCTAGGACCCAGGGGATGTTAACCTCCTGCCTGGCACTGACAGCCCAAAAAAGGCATTGTGACATATCTTTGTGCTCATCACCCAGGTAATGAGACTCTATTTATCTGACAGAGTCCTGTCCTTAGGGAAAATTGTGACATATCACTGTATCCAGCATGTAGGTATGGTGACTTTTCTGCCTCTGCTCTGCCCACCGGAAAAATTGTCATGTCTCTGAGCCCAGAACCTAGGTGATGTGACTTTTCTCCTGTGCCTTACATACAAAAACAATCACACCCAGGTGAGGTGACTCTCCTCTACTACCTGTGCCTTGCCCCAAAGGGGCATTGTGAAGTATCTCTGACCCCATCACCTGGGTGAAGCGGCCATGCTCCTCTGAATGGTCACTGCCCAGAGCTGTAATTGTTAAAAAACCCTGGGCCCAGCACTCAAGTGGTTTGACTCTGCTGACGGGCCCTGCGCACAGAGGGCATTGCGATATACGTATGGGCCCATCAACTAAAAATAGGACTTTCTATATTAGTCTGTTCTCATACTGCTAATAAAGTCATACTCAAGACTGGGTAATTTCTAAAAGAGCTAGGTTTAATGGACTTCTACATGGCTGAGAAGGCCTCACAATCAGGGTAAAAAATGAAGGAAGAGCAAAAAGGCATCTTTCACTGTGGACGGCATGAAGGCCTGTGCAGGGGAACTCCCCTTTATAAAACCATTAGATCTCATAAGACGTATTCAATATCTCAAGAACAGTATAGGAGAACCACCAGTATAATTCCATCATATTTATCTGAGCTTGCTCTTGACATGTTGGGGTTATTAAAATTCAGGTGAGATTTGAGTGGGGACACTGTCAAACCATGTCACTCTTTGCTCCCATCTGGACCCTGCCCTTGGGAGAGATTTTGACGTATCACTGAACCCTGCGCCTTGGTGATGTAACTGGGCCCTGCCCACAGAGAATAGGGACATGTGTCCGGGCTCAGTACCTATGTGATGGGACTCTCCTCTCCTGCCTGGACTCTGTCCTAAAAGAAAATGGCAATATATCACTGAGACCAGCACTTAGGTAATGTCATTTTCAGCTTCCATCAGGGCCCTATCTACAGGGGCAAGGTGACATCATGTGGGAACTATCTCCAGGGTGATGTGACTTTTCTTCATTGGCCTCACCTAAAGGGGGAATTGTGACATATCTCTGGGCCTACCACCTAGGTGATGTGACCTTCCTCACCTGCCTGTGCTCTGCCCACAGGAAAATGTCCATGTATCTCTGGGCCCAGCACCCAGGTAACGGGACTCTTCTGCCAAAGCACTTCTTATACGAGCCATTTTGACATATTCTTTGGCCCAAGACACAATGATGTGACTTTTCACTTCTGTTTGGGTCCTAAACAAAGGGGACATTGTGACATATCACGGGGCTCATCACCTAGGTGATGTAATTTTTTTTCCTTGGGCCTTGTCCACAGAATAAATAGTGACACATTGCTGGGCACAGCACCTAGGTGATGTCATATTTATTTCTGCTCTAGCCTGTATGACAGAGGGCATTATGACATTTTGCTGAACTTAGCACTCAGATGTAACCCTGTGGCCAGAGCTGAGTCCACAGGTGGACTGTGACATATTCCTTGCCCAGCTGCTAGGTGACATAACTCTTTCTTCCTGCACAGACCCTGACTTCAGTGAGGATTCTGGCATATTGCTGGGCCCTACACCCAAATGATGTGACTCTGCTGCCTGAATTCTGCCAAAAAAGGCATTGTGACCTATCCAATGGGCCAGAACCTACATGATGTGATTTTCCACCCGTTGCTGAGCCCTGAAAATTGCTTTTCACAGGGTAAGGGGTGATGTGGATCTCTAGGCTGGGCCCTGCCCACAAGAGGCATTGTGACATATTGCTGAGCTCAGCATTCAAGTAATGTGACTTTCTTACCAGGGCCCTGAACACAGGTTTATTCAAATACTCCTAGACCAACATTCAATCAATGTGACTCTCCTGCCTGCTGTCTTTCCATAGGTGGGATTGTAACATACCTATGCCTAGCTCACGGGCATGATGATGACTCTCATATGTGGACCCAACCGATAGAAAAGATTTTGACTCTCATGGCTAGAATTAGGGGAATAGGTAAGGTCCTCTGTTTCCTACTTGTGGTAATGTTACAGGTGATGACACTCATACATATCCTATAACATCCTTGGGTGACACAGAGAGTGTCCCAACAGGACCCAACACACAGGTGAGATTGTGCATCCCATAGGCACACACCCAGCCGACAATTAAAATTGTCACTCTTACACATGGACAGAATCCACTGGTGAGGTCCTGAATCTCACATATGGACATCGTCCACAGTTAGAGTTGTGATTGTCATATGTAAATTCAGCAACGTGTGAGATGATGACTCATTTCTTGACCAAGCTCACAGGTGCAATAATGACTCTCCTACTTTGATTTAGCCAATAGAAGAGGTGTTGATTCTTGCAACTTGGCTTAGGGCATTGGATAAGGTCCCGAGTCTTCTGCTTGCAGAAAGTTCTGAGTAGATTACCACACTCATGCATATAATATAAAGCCCTTAGGTTTCGCAGACGTTTTCATAACCGAACCCGGAACAAAGCTGAGATTGCGACTCTTCTATGCAAACCCAGCTGACAGGATTATCATCCTCACACAGGGACAGAGCCCACTGCTGAGGGTTTGACTCTCACTTGTGGATATAGCTCAGTTTGTATAGTGACTGTTACATGCGGATCTTACCACAGGTGGGATGTCTTATTACTGGACCCAGCTCATAGGCACAGTGATGACTCTCATAATCAGACCCAGCAAAAGGAGAAATGTTGAATCTTGTAATAGAATGTTCGTGTGTGTGTGTGTGTGTGTGTGTGTGTGTGTGTATGCGCGCGCGCGCGTGTGCATGCAATCCTTTTTAGTTTCTTTAGCTTTGAGAAATTGATTGCATGGTATCTTACACAGATGTAAATATATCAGTCTTTTTTTCATTTTTTCAAAGCAAATATATATATATATATATATATATATGTGTGTGTCCTGTTGATTAAAATATTGTCATTAGTGTTATGTAGATATATTTGTAGATCTCGGGAACAGAAATCTTATTGTAAATATTACAGCTTAATAAATGTTTATGATATATAAATAAAACTATAAATTATACTTATGTAGAAGGTAGTTATTTACAATTGCTTGGAGCTCACCTGCTCAGCCAAGGCCTATCTTCTTCCAAACCATGCGGACATTGCACCTGCTTGTTTACGGTATCTCCTGGGGTGAAATAACCCTTACTGAGAATGGTCAAAACAAGTAAAGCATTTTTAGCAGATAAATGATATGTGTAAAGAAACAGAACTGTGGGAAAAATGCTCAGAGAAGAATCAATCAATCAATCTTACCATAGTTATTTTTAAACAAATAAATCCTTCAAGGTCAAAGCAAATTTATTTCCTTAATTAAAAATTGAAAAATTGGCCCCGCCGCCGAGACCAAGATGGCCGCAAGACTCGGCGCCTTCCTCAAGAATGCTTGGGCGAAGGAGCCAGTACTGGTCGTGTCCTTCTTCATCGGGACCCTCGCTGTAATTCTGCCCCCAATCAGCCCCTACTTCAAGTACTCTGTCATGATCAACAAGGCCACACCCTACAACTACCCAGTGCCTGTCCGCGATGATGGGAACATGCCCGACATACCCAGCCACCCCCAGGACCCCCAGGGGCCCAGCCTGGAGTGGCTGAAGAACCTGTGAGCACCTCCACTGACCAAGGCGGGCCCTTTCTCGGCTCCCAATAAAAATGTGAAAACGAAAAAAAAAAAAAAATTGAAAAATTGTAATTAAAAGTAAATTGGTGAATATATTTCCTTCATTAAAAATTGCAAAAATTGCAATTAAAAATAAATTAGTGAATAAAATTAAAGGCCTCTGACCACAAAGTTTACACTGTAGGGTTTGAAAAATAAAGACAATTAGATAATAAATAATCCCTCAGACAGTGCTGGTCGCATAGGTTGGTACTGCATTCTGGAAGAGGGCTTGCCAATGCCTACACAAGCTGAAGATAGAAATATATTTTCATTATATTTGTGGTTAAATATCTACATAATTGCACTAATTTCTCTTTAAAAATGCACAAGACACTCTATAGTGGCACTGAAAAATTGGGAAAAATTACCAAAATGTTTATGAACAGTTGAATAAATACATTGTAATGTCTTCATATGATGTCACATTGTAGACAAATGAATATACAAACCACTCCAAGCAACAGAGATCAATCTCACAACATTAAAAAAAGAACTTGGCCAAAAATGTGAACTTATTGTGTTAATCTATTTAAAGTTCAAAAACAGGCAAATATTGTTTATTGAATAAACAGCCAGGATGTAAGTTTCTCTCGGGGGAACAGTGGTTGAAAAGGAGAATCAAGGAGGGAGGTCCCAGGTTGTTCACACGCTTCCATCACTGGGTGCGGGGTTCACAGTATATGCATTCTGTAAAAATTTATCAAGCTGTTCTTTACAATACGTCTGATTTTTAAGTGTCTAAAATTAAAAACTTTAGAAAATATTTTTCTATCTTTTTAATTTTTCCTCAATCAGTTTTTGTCGCTTACTTTTCTGGAAAAAAAAAAGGTAGTTTTATCTAAATTTTCAAATTAAATAACATAAAATTTTAAAAAATATATGTTTAAGTCTTGAATGTATCTATAATCTTTTTCGCCTTTCATAATGTTTTCATTTTTCTTAATATAACTTTACCTAGTTTATTACTACATTCAAAGAACAGCAAGAATTTCACTGCCATGTTATTATCTCTAAGTAACAGACAAATCAGAGAGGATAAAAAACTTGTCCACAGTTACACAGGTTCTCTGAGCCTGCTCTTCTAACCATTAAAAACGTTGGTCTAACTCAGGAAAAATACATACTACTTCTAAAGGTACATAAAATTACTATAGCTATGCAACGCAACATGGAAAACGAGGAAAAAATATACATAAATAAAAAAACAAGGCACAGATGAAAACTTATGCTACCACATACATACAGGCAAAAAAACCCAGGAAACACTAAAATGTGTATTATTCATAGATAAAACTGCACAAAGTAAATAACACAAAATTTGGATAATGGTCAATTTGGGGTAGTAGGATTACAGAAGACTTTAGAGGTGTGTACTTTACCAGAGTGTGTGAGGATTTTATGAAACCAGAATGAAAGGTTCCTGAGAGTAGACATCAATTTGTTTTTTCTTTATTTTCTTCTCTTTTTGAGGCGGAGTCTAGCTCTGTTACCCAGGCTGGAGTGCAGTGGCGCGATATCATCTGACCAAAACCTCCGCCTCCCGGGTTCAGGTGATTCTCCTTCCTTAGCCTCCCAAGCAGCTTGGGACTACAGGCATGTGCCACCATGGCTGGCTAATTTCTGTATTTTTAGCAGAGATAAGGTTTCACTATTTGGCCAGGCTGGTCTTGAATTCCTGAACTCCGATGTAATCCGCCCGCCTCAGCCTCCAAAAGTGCATGTAACACCACGCCTGGCCAATACTTTTTCTTAATTTTATCTCCCAAGGCTAGCAAAGAGTATGGCACCACGTGTATGCTCAACACACATTTATCAGTTCAATGAATGAATACATGTCCTTTGTAAACTCTCAAGCTATGCAAATCAAGAATTTATTATTAGCCGGGCGCGGTGGCTCAAGCCTATAATCCCAGAACTTCGGTTAAAAAAAAAAAAAAAAAAAAAAAAGTTTAATGTTACCCCAGCATTCTTAGGCAAAGTAAAGTATAATTTATAGTCCTAATTTGTGACCAGTATAACTAATTTATTTATTTTTTTTTTGAGACGGAGTTTCACTCTTGTTACCCTCGGCTCACCGCAACCTCCGCCTCCTGGGTTCAGGCAATTCTCCTGCCTCAGCCTCCTGAGTAGCTGGGATTACAGGCACGCACCACCATGCCCAGTTAATTTTTTGTATTTTTAGTAGAGACGGGGTTTCACCGTGTTGACCAGGATGGTCTCGATCTCTTGACCTCGTGATCCACCCGCCTCGGCCTCCCAAAGTGCCGGGATTACAGGCGTGAGCCACCGCGCCCGGCCACTAATTTAAATTTTTATGTGAAGATGAAACATAAAATCTTCCATCAGGTGAGCATAACTTAAGAGAAAAAGTCATCGAAAAAAAGGAAAAAGAGAAAGGAATGAAAACTTGATTTTTGGAAATGGTTTCTCCTCTTCTGGTGCAGAGGGAGGCTGGCTGGGGAGCCCGGGTCTCTCTGTCGTCCCCGCAGTGGCAGTGGCTGATCTCTGCTCAACCGCCAGGGCCAAGGCCCTGCGCTGGGCCTGAGGCTTTCTGGCCCAGCCCCTCATCACTTCCCTGGACTCTTCACAGTGTGTCTGGACTCCTGCGCCATCCTGAGTGTCCTTTTGACGGAAGAGGAGGTGGCAGCAGGAAGCTGGTGGGATAAACTGGCCTCCCAGGCTGAGCCGTCTCTCCCAGCAAAAGCTCTAGGGAACGCCGACTTTCTGTGCTTGGAGCTGGGACTCGACCCAGGGTTGCAGCTAAGGTATCCCCGGGCTGGGCGACACCGGGCGTGGGAGCTCCAGCTGCTGCTGGGTTTCGTTCTGTGCTAGGCGGGCAGCGGCTGGAACCAGCGTGGGTAACACGCGCAGGAGACACCCTGCAGCGGGGAGGAGGCAGTAGCCATGGTTCTTGAAAATTAGGCAGTGCTGACAAACTTCTGACACCAGAAACAGAAGAACCAAGAGAAACTGCCCTAGAGCTTCAGCCAAATGGACGGACTGTTGGAGTGGCTGAGGGTGAAGCTGCCTCAACTCCTCAGAGTTGAGCAGCAAAGCAACCACCAGAGATGGACCAGACAAATGAAAGTCTAAGAAAATTAGCAGAAATCAAAGGCTGATGCTAACGCAATAAGAAACGGTTCACACCATGATCGAAACAGAGTTGATGAAAAAGTCTGGGAAATGAATCTTGGCCACAGAAAGCACAGCTGTGACCACGGCAAGGTGCTGACGATTCTGGTCCACCGGATTCCACCATCCCCATGACGGTAAATACCATCATGGTCACCACCCAGCAAGCTACAACCGCAACAGCAAATACAAAT